TGGGGATACATTTTTATAATTTAGTTTTGTTTGCTTTTTTTCTTCTAAAAATCCAAGAAACAAGTTTTCTCCCTTATTTGGACTCTTATTTTACTGGCTGTTTCTGATGTCTAGCCATACCCTTTGTTTCAATTTTTACTTCCTTTTTAAAATTTATTTTTTATTTTGTGTATATGGGTGTTTTGCCTGCATGTATGTTGATGCACTACTGTTGTGTAGTGCTTGTGGAGGCTAGAAGAGGATTGGAGTTTAGATATGGTCATGAGCTGCTTATGTGGGTAGAATTGGCCCAGGTCCTTGAGAGAAGCCTGCTGTTGATGGTTGAGCAACCCCTCCAGCCCCAGGTTTGCTGCCGTTTTCTTAATTTCTTTTAGGTTATTTCAAAATACTAAGGAACATTTTTCATCTTTGATTTGCTTGATTGCTCTGAAGTTTTTATTATGTTAGAATATTATTTTTCCTCCAGTATTTTCTGGTAGGCTTTCCTTCGTTCTTTGTTTTTTACTGGTAGAAAAGGAAGAACTGGAGGAGGAAGTGATGGGTAAGTGTAGCTTTGAGCTCTGGCATTCAAGGCCCTGCCTTTAAGACACAAGGTATTTTTACAGGACTGTCACTTTTACTTTTATGGAGATAGTACAACATTTCCCCCTTTCCCCTTTCTTTGTCTTTATGTGTTTTCTGAAGAGGACTCTATTAGTATTTACAGTTATGTGATTTGAAGGCCGTGTCACTCAGACCTCTGCCCACTGAGTTCTCATTCTTTTTGCTTTGCAGAGCCCCCTTCCCCCGTTCCCTGCATGTCCTTTTCTGGGTCTGTCTTTCACAGAGTTAGAGACTATTAGATACCCAGGATCAGCATGTGAATATGGTCCAGTTCCCTTAGAAATTTCCTGTGTTTATCTACATCTTGGAGCCCATGAAGGACATTTTCTGAGTTTATCCAGTTCTTAGATTGTTTGCTGTTGCCAGGATTTGATTTTATTCATTCCTTTGTAAAGAATAGACTTTTCTTTTTACATAAGTAGCTTCTTCTAATTAATGTAATTAGCATTTTTCCAGAGGAGTGTGTGTATGTTAAGTTTTAAACTCCATTTGAGAACTCTAATTTTTTTTAACATTTGCTGCAGGCAGTTATTTCTGTCCCGCCAGCCTGCTCCCAAATACATGCACGGAGACTTCTTATTAATTATGAAAGCTCTGCCCATGGCTTAGACTTGTTTCTAACTAGCTCTTAAAACTTAAAGGAACCCATTTCTAATCATCTATGTGTTGCCACGTGACTTGTGACTTTTACTTTTCTTCTTGCATGTCTGTTCTGTCTCATCTGCCCTTCCCAGAGTGTTCGCCTGCCTGGCTCTCCTGCCTATACTTCCTGCCTAGCTAATGGCCTTTTAGCTTTTATTAAACCACTCAGAGGGTGCCTTGAAAAGACATATCTTCACGGTATACAAAGAGATTATGCCACAACAACTTGCAGCAGTGTACGATTATCTTATTTAGAGCCCTACTTGTTTATCTTGTTATCATTTGAATGAGAAGGGGACACTGTGTCCATCCTTTCGTCCTCGCCAAATTATCCTCTTCTACTATCATCCCTTTTAAAATTCTAAATTCTGCATATGTGAGAAAATGTGCATATCTGTCTTTGTGAGTATGGTTATTTCACTCCTTGTGTTGAAAATATATTTTGGGGGCATAGTGGCTCATGGCTGTGATCGTAGCAGTTGGAAGGCTTATGTAGAAAAATTCCTAGGAATTAAAGCTCAACCTAGGCTACAGAGCTTGAGTTTTCTGTTTTCAAAACCAGCCAGCTAACAGTCACTGTTCGTATTTGTGGAATTCAGTGTGCTTCAATACAAGTATGCACTGTGTAATGCTTAGATCATAGGAATTACCTTGCCTGGCAGCTCAGACAGCTGTCATTTTTTGTTGTTGGAAACATCCAAATTTCTAATGACTTTCAATATTAAATGTTGTAATCGGTAGTTGTTCTACTCTGCTTTATTGAACATTAGAAGGAATTCTTCCTAACAAACTACATGCCTGTACCTGTTGACTGTGCTCTCTCCATCCTTCCTTTCTCCACAGTTCCCACAGGCCCTGGTAACTACTGTCTTCCTCTTTCTTGAGATAAACTTGTTTCCTGTGTGCTGCTGTATAGGATGAAGATGATGCACGCTACCCTGAATGAAAGATGTGACAGCTTCATATATGAATGCTGTTTTCTTATAATACTTGATTTCTTACATGTATAAACAATGTTTGCCCTTTACTTACTACTAAGTAGTGAACATTTTCCGATGATTAATTAAAATCAGTTTTTTGTATATAATTTTGCTCGGTGTTGTGTAACAAACATTTCATATTTTACCTAATCTCAATTGTTAGGCTTCTTACAAATTGCTTTAAATTGTGTTATGATTATTGTGAATGATTAATACCTTCTAGATAATTTTGTAGGTTAAGTTCTAAGAAGTAGTTAGATTCCGTGACTTTAAATCCTTATTTAGGTGTATATATTTAGGCAGATCCATTTTTCTGTGTTCAGTTTCTAAATACATACTTTAAAAGAGGATAGTTTATACAAGCCAGATTTTTTGACCCATATTATCATGGCTGTTTTCACCATTTTCATTTTACAACTATGCATATTTTTATTGTTTTTTTGTTGTAGAGTATGTTAGAATTGTTTCCTGAAAACTAATTTACATACCTACCAGCAAAACAGAGTATCAGTTTGCTAGCTTTAGCTAGCAGTTGATGTTTTAATTCAGAAATATATGTCTTTGATGATATGGCCCCAGTTGTTAAGGGCAGATGTATGTTTTGAATCCCCAGTGTTTGGATTAATACTGGCTTTATGTGTTTGAGATTTTGCCTGTTATTATGTGATTTTTTTAGATTTAAGTAATTTAAATGTTTAGATTTTTATTTACCTTTTGTATTTTGTTCTGTATTTTTATATTTTGTTTGTTCTCATTGATTTCTTTTTAATTAATTTTGAATTCTATATTTGCCTTAATCTTTGTGGAATATGTAAATGAAAGTAGTTCTTTTTTATGGTCTTCTTTTAAAAATTTCTTCACATGGGGCTAGAGAAATGGCTCAGTGGTTAAAGAGCACTTGTTTATTTTACGATGGACCTGAGTTCAGTTCTTAGCACCCACATCATGACTAACAACCGTCTGTAACTCTAGTTCTGTGGTCTGTTCTCTGTGAGCACCAGACATGCACATTGTGTGCATGCAAACATGCAGGCAAGCACCCAGACACAAGTTAAAAATAAATCTTTAGCTTGGCGGTGGTAACACACGCCTTTAGTTACAGCACTCTGGAGGCAGAGGCAAAGCTACAGAGGAACCCTGCCTTGAAAAGCCAAAATAAAAAAAAAAATCTTTTTTTTTAAAGCTATTTACTCATCTACTTGTTATAATAAATCTATCATTTGTGGTAGTAGTTAAATAATTATATAACTAATTTATTTATTAAGCACTCTGTAGATATACAGCTAACATTCTAAAAATATATTTTCATTTTAGAATAATTACAAACTACAGAAAAGCTGCAAAGATTATTTCCCTTAAGCAGTTTCTCCTACTGCTAACATTTAATATTTCCATGGTAAATTTGTCACAGCAAAGATACAAACATTGATATGTTACTATTAACTAAACTTTACATTGTTTTTGGATCTCACTACTTTCCCCTGAAATGTTTCTTACTCATGTAGGGTCTCATTCAAGACACAGCATTGCCATTTAGTTGCCTTGTTTCCTTTCACTTCTTGATACATGACAATGTTTCCAGTCTTCCTTTTTTGTTGGTGTTATTTTGTTTGTTTGTTGTTTTCTAAATTTTTAAAAATATGTATATTTTGTTTTATGTAATGAGTGTTTTGGTCACATGTATGTCACATGTATGTACTACATGTGTGTCCAGTGCCTGTGGAGGTCAGAAGAGCATGTGAGGTCCCCTGAGCTGGGGTCATGGATGGTTGTAATCCTCTGTGTGTGAGTGCTGACAAACAATTGAATACTAGTCCTCTGCAAGAACAAGTTCTTTTAATCACTGAGCCATCTCTCCATCCCTGCTTTTTTTTTTTAAATTTTTTTCCCACTTAACAGTGTTTGGAAGAATCCTAGTCATGTATTTTACTCAAAGTTTTTCAGTTGGAGTTTGTGTGCTGTTTTTCTTATAGTTATATTAGGGTTATTTGTAGTGGTATGGACTCTGGGTATTATTTTATACTTCTGTTATAACTGCATACTACCACCTTTATTTTGTTCCTATTCTTTTCAGCCTTGTTTTTTTTAATTTTTTAGATTTATCCATTTATTATTTATTTATTTATTTATTTATTTATTTATTTATTTATTTATTATGTATGCAACATTCTGGTCAGTAGGCCAGAAGAGGGCACCAGATCTCATTATAGATGGCTGTGAGCCACCATGTGGTTGCTGGGAATTAAACTCAGGACCTCTGGAGGAGCAATCAATGCTCTTAACCTCTGAGCCATCTCTCCAGCCCTCCAGCTTCTTTCATACTTCTCGGTTGGCTCCTTCTTGGCCAAGTATTCTTTTCAATGGTTTTTTTTTTTTTTTTAAATCTTGAATTTACTAGAGGCTTTCTGTACTACTTTTTTTTTTTTTAAAAAAATATTTATTCATTTTATATATGTGAGTGCTCTGTCAACTTTATGCCAGAAGAAGGCAACAGATTCCGCTATAGATGGTTGTGGTTTACCATGTGATTGCTGGAAATTGGACTCAGGACCCCTGGAAGAGGAGCCAGTGCTCTTAACCTAAGATGAGCCATCTCTGCAGCCCATTTGTGTTTCTTTTTATGGTTTCTATGCTGTTCTCATTCAAACTGCAAACACTGAATAACTTTGTGCTAGTTTCAATAGTTTGATAATAGTGAGTTATTCCTTTTTTTTGCCCATTGATTTTCACTTACTATTTTAACTAATTGCTTCTTTTTTCTTTTCTTTATTCCAGGAACATTTTAGTGGATAAACCAAATGACCAGTCTTCCAGATGGTCTTCAGAGAGCAACTATCCTCCCCAGGTAAGATTACATGTAGCATCTGAGACTGTTTAAAAAGTCAGAGTCAATGGGCACTTGCTCAGTTGGTATCAGTTATCTAGCTAGAACCCGTTGAGGATTTTGTCTTCGGGATTGTGAGCTACATTTTCTTTGTGGTCTATTAAATTTTTATTTTATAGATTAAAACAATGTGGGATTTGATGAGACATTTTTACTTCTTCCTATTGAAAATTTAAATTCTAATTTACTTTTACATATTAATAAGGATGCAAAATTAAGTTTTGTTTTGTTCTTTAAAAAAACTCATGAGGAAAATGACTGGAGTGCTTGTACTTGTCCTAGTCTGACCCAAAGTTATGTTATACTCAAATCATTCTGAAAGTATTTAGGAAATTAGTAAGTTGAACTTTGACTGAGGGCCCTTTGAGAAAAGTCAACATAGTTTGTTACAGTATTGTCCTTTTAATCTTTTAAAAATTACATTTCTTGTTTGTTTATGTGTGTGTGGAATGTGGATGTAGAATGTGAGTGCACATGTGCATGTTGAGATGTGATGGTGAATTATGGGAGTCAGGTCTCTCCTTCTAACACCTGAATTTTGCAAGCGTCTTTACTGGCTAAGCCGCGCTGGCTTGGTTTACTATGTTAAAATAGTCTATGTAGAAGGTGTTATGACCAGAGCCGTACTCTTTTTCATTGGTAAGTATTACTATCATTAAAAAGGATCATTCTTTCATTATACACTTTCAGTGTATATGCTTAGGGTGTAATAGGTACATTTATAATGTCTATGTTCTTGAAGGTGTGATAAAGTAGGTGGGTAAACAATGCAGTAGAATTCATGGGAGCCTAGTTTCTGTACTTAATGTATCTTTATGCTTGGAAAGTTTTTACTAGTTATCTGTGTTTTCATGTGCTTTAGCATTTCTCTGTATTTTGAGATGCTGCTTTATTGTTACGTGTATACAACAATTTGTTTATTCTTTTTATGTACATGTGGTTTTTCTTTTTCAGTTTGTGTAATTATGAATAAATCTTACATAATAGTCCTCTAAGATTAAAGGATAATTCATATTTTCATTTATTTTGGATAAATATTTAAATATATAGTTGTACTTTAAGCTAGGGATACTTTATATGAAATTATGAAAGTTGTTGCTTTACAGCCTTATACAATGTCCTGACACACATTCAAATTTATTAATTATTGTTAGTATGAAGTATTTTTAATTTATAATTCATGGGTGACTAATGATATTAAGCATTCCCCCTCTGCTCACTTATTAGCTGTTCATTTAAGACCTTTTGGGGGATGGTCAGAGAGGGTCCTAGAGACGGAATTCAGGGCCTCACATATGCTAGACAAGTCTTCTAACACTGAGTCACACCTCTCCTCAGCCTAGTTTCATTTTTTAATGAATTATTTTACCCATTTTTAAAAAACAACATTGCTTCTCTTTGAGTATTGAGCTTTGGAGGTTGCTTATATATCTTGTGCATAAATCCTTTTTTGGGTTTCTTTTTGTGTGTAGCTTGACAGTTCATTTCCTTAACATTGTCTTTTATTCGTCTTTTAACAGTTACTGGTGTATAATACTACTATACTTAAGGTATAAACATATCTGTTACCTCTAGAAATTTTCCTTATACCATTTCTAGTCCATCAACCTTGTCTGTTTCTAGGCATCCACTGATTGGTGTCCTCTTCTACTGTCCGTTGACGTTTTTAGTTTCAATAATTCTCATCTTATCCTGTTCTCCCTCAGTTTTCTTTCCTTCCTTTCCTCCCCCCCCCCTTTTTTTGAGTCTACAGATTGGCATGCCAACGTGTGCCAGCTAAACCCACATAAAACCTGAGAGAACTTGGAAAGGAATTCTAGACACAAAAAACAAAGTTTAGCCACATTGTTTTTCATATAGGCTCTGTTTGCTGGTGGCAAGCAGAGACATGGCTATTTTACAAGGTTTCCTGACTCAGCTTTAGTAGCAAAAACTGCACAGCCTCTTTAAAAAACGATTTCCTGGTTTGTGCTGGCAGAACGAACTCTAGCTCTTTTGGGAGGTCCTGCACTTAAATGGGGTCTGTCAGTAGCATGTTACAAATTGTTTAGTGGCGCAACATAGAACCACTAAGTCCCTGGAGCTGGGGTGCTGTGTGCGGCTTGCAGAGGTAGTAAACAGACCTCAGCCATTTTGGACTGGACAGAGCCAAAAGGCAAAGCAGCATTAGTCCTAGGCATGCTGCTTAGCAGTTTAAGAAGCAGTCCTGGTCAGAAAAAGATTTCAGATACACAATAGGACAGATTCAGACATAAAAGGCCTCTAAACGAGATACAATTTGTTTAAAAATGTATGTAGGCTTGGGAGAGAGGGGAAAAGAATATAGACAGTTATAAAAAAAGAAGTAAAAGTCATTAAAGAGACAGTAAAAGTAATATAAAAGAGTACAAACAGTCTTAGATTAAACGAGTTAAGAAAAGTAAGCCACGTACAGATGGCATATACACAGAGTCTGGATTATGTATAATTATTATGTTTTCTTTAAATTTTTTGACTGTGAAGGAGCTAAGTCAGAGACATCTCATTGAATGGGCTTTTACGATAAACCAACATATATATTTTAAAGGTATCTTAACTTCAAAATATGGTTCTAAGGATATGTTGCTTTGGAAAAGGAGGTTCTACTTTTGTTTTCACAGAAGATGAAAACCTGTGGATTCCTTCCAGACTAGTGTGCTTTGATGGAGCAAGACTCCACCCTTGAAAGGTCACCATGAATACCCCCAGAAATTACTTTGTCCAACAAAAAACAGGAAGCAGTTTGGAGAGAACTACACCCAAATTCTCAAATATTGTTTATAATTTTTTTCTTTTTACATTTAAAGGGGGATATGCTATAGAGATGAATACTTTTCTTTGGTATGGATCTTGGTCTATTGATAAAATTTAAGGTCATTTTTGTTACATGTATATTTCTGTTCTTGATTAAGGTATTATGTTTGTGCAGCTCATTTAGAAATGTAATGTATAATTAATAAATACTGGTTAATAGATAGTTATCTGCAATAGTCAAGTTTGTAGTCAATATTAGTTAGGTTTTCTAGATATATAAAGATATATTTCAGTTAGATAATTTTCAAACCTTTCAAAGACCCATGGAATATGGTATTTTATGTTTTAAGAATTTAAGACTTTTCATGACAATGAGACACACCTGCTCCTGGCAGCACAAATCTAGTTCAAGAGAAAGATAGGCATTAGGAATTTGCTAGCCATTTGGGCAAGAAACTGCTCTTGCTTGGACTGCTTGATGTTGTGCTGTATGAACTGGACATGCAGGACCCACAGAAAAATGACTGCTGAACTTACCTAAAGGTGAGATCGTCCTTTGGGTTCCGGCTTCATGAGAGAGTCTGCCAGACATTCAAGACAAAGAAGAGAGTGACTGACAAACAGCCAATATAGGCGGAACTGACTCTGAAATTTCCTGCTTCATGGAAAAGTCTGATGGATATTATGGGCCTGTAGGGTGAAAATCGGATGCACCAGTGTTGCAGAAGAACTTTGGGTGACTGCCCAGGCAGCAAGATGTTTCAATTCTAGAGTTTTGCAAGTTGCTTACAATGCACTTCCTATTAACTTAGGTAATAGTATATCCTTCTGAGGTCGTTGATGGAGTTGAAGACTAGCTATTTATAGTTACAGTTTTCTTTAGTTAGGATAAAAGGCAAAGTAGATATAAATATTGTAACTATAATTCTTGTTTGATACCTGTTTTGTCATATGTAATTTTACTATGTTAAAATTAAAACCTTCCTTTTTATTTAAACAGAAAAGGGGAAATGGTATGGGAAGTCCTCTTATAGATGTGTTATTTTTATTGGTTAATGAATACAGCTGCTTTTGGCCAGTGGCTTAACAGAGAAAAGGCAGGTGGAAAATCTGAACAGAGATGTAGAGAGAAAGTAGGCAGAGTCAGGGAGAAGCCATATAGCCGCCACAGGATACAACAGATGCCTCCACTGGAGCCCATCAAACCTTTGCTGGTAGGCCACAACTTCATGGTGATGCTGCTACTTCAGTCTCCTGAGTGCTAGAATTACAGACATGAATCAACATACCAGAATGTCATATAAATGACATAATGTGTGTTTTTGTTTGACTTATTTGTCAAAATAATTATTTTAAGATTAATCTTGGAAACACACCTCTGAGGTCAGAAACTGTATGATACCTACTGGAATTCGGGTTAACTCAGCTACTTCATCCATAAATTGGCACTACTTATTATCTCCCTGACTAAATTTACATACTCCTAACTGAACCAAAACTAGCTAAGGCAGGGAACACCTAACAGCAAACCAAATATTTATTCAGTGTAGGAATGCTAGAAACGCATTCCAAAAGTTAGGCACTCACTTGCAGAGATTTCTGGATATCATACCAAAGCCAGAGTCAGAGCCAAAACAAGATTCAGACCCAGGTACTGATCTAGAGTCCTCAGATACAGAGCACATAGGATGGAGACTCAGATAAACTGCTAGCACAAGACCGCCTTCTGGGAACTAGAAAAGAAATGTGGGAGATGCCCGATGAGCTCAACAGTCAGGGCAAGTCTACCCCTGGGTAGTGTCTATTTTTGTAGTTTGTAAAGTTTGATGCCTTAAAAAATCTTTGTTTTTCGATATGGAGTTTCTCTTTGTAGTCTTGGCTGTCTTGGAACTCATTCTGTAGACCTGGTTGGCCTGAAACTCACAGAGATCCACCTGCCTCTACCTCCATGGTGCTGGGAATAAAGGTGTGCACCACCACTGCCTGGCTACCTTGAACAGTCTTTTAACAGAGGAAAGTGATACCTCAACCATGCTGCCACCTAGTCCTTCCCCTAAATTGTAGACAGTACCATTGAAAAATGAAAGGTAACCTTCAATCAGCAGTAACAACTAACAATTAAGTTTCTTATTTAAGTTTCAACTCAAAAACAATAGGTAACACGAAAAACCACTATAATTTGCACCTCC